TTTTTGGCGCTTACGCCATTTGGCTCCAATTGGCGCCAATTTGGCGCAAAATTGGCGCCAATTGGAGTCAAATGGCGCCAACGCCAAAAATGAAGGTCATATTCGTTATCAGGGCATCGGATTACCCCTATAGACGAAGTTTCATCGAAAATTAAAATTTTGAGTTTTTGGGGGTGTAATAGTAGAATAGTACCGTTACATGAATAGATTCGCTCCTTTTTCAGCTTTCAGCTTTTCACTACCTTTTTATATTGGTTGTCTAGTTCCTTTTTTCCCTTCTGTGCTTCTTCTTTTAGTTATTCTTTTTGATCATTTCTCAACTGTGCATCTATGAGATGCGCTTAGTTTTATTCAATTTCGTAGACTGACGAGGGTGATAGCATGATTTCATATAAATAAATTCGCTCCCCATAAGCTTTTCACAACTGTGCAGCCTCTCCACATTTGCAGTTCTTGGAAAAATATAAGAAGGGACATGCTCTTTCCTCAAGTTTGCTTGCAGAAGGGTAGTCTTGAGGTTGAAGAAGTTCGCAGGAAAAATGGGCGTTACTCATATTGTGAGAAATTTGTATCATTCTTTGATACTCTGATATTGAAGCATTATAGCGCTGCGCATTTTATGTTCACACTATGTCTTTCTCTTTTCTTTTCCTTCCTAACATTTCAGAATGAAAGGAAATTTTTAACATAAAGAACTTATATCAGTTCGGCTGAGTTTTCGGTGAAAATGTACTTGGGGGATGCCAGCGCCCTTTTGTGCTCTGCGTCTCTGACACCGGCGATCGCAGAGATGGATACCTCCCCTTCTAGAAGTTAGGGGAGGAGCTCCAGGGTGGGAGAGATGATTATCTCGTCAAAAAGCTGGGATGGGTAAGAATTGAACATCCAACTGTTTCACCCACCCCGGAGCTCCTTCCCTAACTTTTAGAAGGGGAGGAGCTCCGGAATGGGTGAGATGATTAGATGAGGTAAGAAATGAAGAGACGCACAGCACAAGAGCGCCTGGCACCCCCAACTACATTTTCACCCTCTCATTTTGTGGAAGTGCACTTGAGGAGTGATTAAAGTGTAAATTGAAAGAAGAACAGCCTAACATGAGGAACGAACTAAAAACCAGTATCAAAAAAAAGTAGTGAATAGTTGAGAGCTGAAAAAGGAGGAATCTATTCAAATAAATCCCAAGCGAATAACTCTAGTCAGTCTATGCAATTGGATAAAACTAAGCGTAGTGTTACGGTAGTTGCAATTAATACGTAACTACAGGCCGCGAGGGGTGTGAAAATAGATAGCGCCCGCGTAGAGGCTGCTTTTCCGTCTGATTCTCTTAGCGAGAGGAATTTCGTAACCCCTGTAACCAGACTGCTTCGACATAACTTCTAATCCCGTCTATTAAGACTCGCTGCAGTGCTTCAATAGGCTGACATCTTTTCCAGTTGGTATTTCTCTGTGTACCTCGATTATTCAACGTATTACTATGTATGTTCAAAATTCTCGTCGTCATTCCATTTGTTTTTACTTGCCAAGTGCGAGAGTTTTTTTAGTGTTATGTAATTCCCCACATGAAGCACTTATGAGTTCGAGTCGATTTCTTTTCATTTGTCAATAGTGCACGCGACATATCCTAGCATTTTGTAGATTTTAGATATTTTACCTTTCAATTTCAATAATGTGCATCAAGGCTCGTTAATTCAAGTCGTCAGTGCGTTGCCCGTAAAATTCACACAGAACTTGCAGTACTGTTGATTCGTTCAGAGTTAGCCTCTCCTTGGCTCTCACAACGAATTCCGTCCGTGCTGTGTCTGTTGTTTTCGGAAGACGAATAGCGTCTGCTCAACAAGGACCAGTCAGATTTTGCTCCACATTAGTCAGCTCACCAACGAAGATGGTTGTTGACAATCTGAAGGAGAACGTTCCACTCCAGAAAGAAGTGAAGATATTTTCGAGCATATAGTCGATCTGCTGAATTAATTGGTGATGCATTCATTCATTACTCATTAAGGCCAAGGTGTCCATGGCATCAACCGAGTTGCAGCCATGGCCTGAGTTCATACAAAAGCGCATCGAAATGTGGGATAGATTAATGGCTGAGTACAAGGCTGAGATTGCTATGAAGGTGAAAAAACGTGCCATTTAAGCCAAGAAAAAAACCTCAAATCAGATCAGCTACAATATTATTCTTTTTCCAGAAACCGGCACCCATTAAAATTACTCTCCCGGATGGCAAACAGTTTGATGGGGAATCATGGCGCACAACACCTTTACAAATCGCGGAGAAAATCTCCAAGGGCCTTGCTGAGAATACCGTGATTGCAAAAGTCAATGGTGGTGTAAGTGAAATTCTATTAATCCCTTTGTTTTTTTCTGTCATTTTTCTTCTAACTTTGTCGAAAACGCTAGGTATGGGATCTTGATCGGCCGTTCGAGGGTGATGCAACATTACAACTACTCAAGTTTGATGATGATGAGGCGAAGCAGGTCAGTAATTGCTACTTTTTTTGGGTGTTGGCCGATCCTGGTGTTTTGGCACAGTCATGAGTTCAGGTGTTTTGGCACAGTTCAGCTCATGTTCTTGGAGAAGCAATGGAGCGCTATTGTGGGGGACACCTTTGTTATGGTCCACCTATTGAAGAGGGGTTTTATTACGATATGTGGCACGATGTAAGTTCGTGCTTTTTTTTATTCTAGAACTAAAAGGTCTCTCCACTTTTACAGAACGTTACCATTTCACAAGAAGATTTTCCAAATATTGATCAGATCGTCAAGTGTGCAATCAAGGTTTGTCCGATTGTGAGGTCTTTATTTTTGATTGCGTTCGGATACTCTACTACCTGATAAATATGGTTTTATGATAAACAACCATTCGAGCGACTGGAAATGACTAAGGAAGACCTACTCGAAATGTTCAAGTACAACGAGTTCAAGGTATTGCCAGTTTTCCCATTCACATTTTCTTCACTGCATTGTGCAATATTAGAATACAGCACATGTTTGTAACACGACTTTGGGGATCTCATGTGGCACATTCTGGCAATCAATGAATGAGCACGATTTATTCCAAATTGTCACGTGAATAGATTCGCCGCTACAACTGTGTGTGAACTTTCAGGGAAGACACTAGAAATATGCTTCAGGTGCGCATAATCAAAGAGAAAATCAACACACCGAAAACGACTGTGTACCGTTGCGGGCCACTCATCGACCTTTGCCGTGGTCCACATGTGCGGCACACTGGAAAGATCAAGGTTCTCAGTTACGTCGCGTACGACTCAAATCTTAGTTTACATAATTTATTTGCTTCTCTATTTCAAGGCCATACAAATCACAAAAGCATCTTCATCATATTGGGAAGGAAAAGCGGAAGCTGAAACTTTGCAAAGGATTTATGGAATTTCATTTCCGGATCCAAAGCAGCTTAAAGAGTGGCAAAAATTTCAGGTTTCAACAGAATTCTTTTTTCTAATTTCTGATTGTTAGCCATTGCAAGTCATTCAAGGAAGAAGCTGCTAAACGCGATCATCGCAAGTTGGGCCGGGACCAAGAGCTCTACTTTTTCAATCCTTTATCGCCTGGATCTGCCTTTTGGTATCCGAAGGGTGCACATATTTACAACACTTTGGTGAACTTCATAAGGAAAGAGTATAGAAAACGAGGATTCACTGAGGTTCTTGCTAGAGATCATGTTTTCTTACTGTATTTTTTTCTAATGTCGAAGCTTTGCCTAGGTAATCACACCGAATATGTTTAACAGTAAATTGTGGGAGACATCCGGCCATTGGCAGCATTATTCGGACGACATGTTCAAGTAGATGATTTATGTTTTTACCTCTCTATTTGATTTTGATGATAGTTCAAGTTCAGGTTCGAAGTGGAAAAGGAACAGTTTGCATTGAAACCAATGAACTGTCCTGGCCATTGTCTCATGTACAGCCATCAGCCTCGTACGCATAACGAGTTACCCATCAGATATGCTGATTTTGGTGTTCTGCACAGGTAAGGGGACTTGAATTTTTCAACCAATATTCAATCAAGATCCGTTTTGATCAGCTCAGACCTAGTTTTCGTTTGAGAAGGCGATTTCGCGTTCATTTGGCAATAATGTACCCATTAGTTTACATTTGTAACAAATTGAATAGTAAAGAAGCAACTTAGATTTTTCAGAACGATTTTTTCAAGCGTTTGTTTGAGTTGCTTTTAAAAGTTCGAGCACTCTTCATTTGATATGTGGTACAGCTATCTATTTGTGCGTTTTTTCGAGGTACTTTTCCTCCAAGGAAAAAATGAACAAATTTCATTCCTATCTGTAATTGATCATTCTGAACAAGGATTGTCTATAGAGGATTTTCGGCACATTTCACTTTTTGCCTCTATCTTGGCTAAATGCTGTTGGTGTCGTGCGTGATGTAGGTTGAACATAAGGTGACAGTGTTTTGTTACAGAGCACATGCTAACACCTCCACAAGTTTTCGTTCCAGCAATTTATCACCGCAGGGCGGGCTGACCAATAGGCATGGTTGACCATCTTTTGACTTCATTGACCGAAGCCTGTCATCATGTGATTCATGCAGGAGCTTATTGAAAAGCTCGACTCATTTATGGGAGTATTTGACGAGAATATCAAAACTTGGGCTAGTAGAAAAACTATAAGTCTAGGTGCCACACGAGTTTAGTGAGATGCAATTGACGCCGCGGTATAGTGTATGCGATTTGAGCTTTAAACGCAATGAATACCACGATTTATGAGCTGAATAGTGTCTTTTGATAAAAGTTGGAATCATTGCGATAACTTTACTCACAAACGATTATGGTAGGAACCATAAAGGTGAATTGGATATCTATTTATGGAAGTTTTAGGGTGCAGTTGAAAAAACCCGCCAAAAATAGCGAGTCGCAAAGAAGTAATGCTATGCTATGACGAAGCCAGATCGCGTACTTTTTTGGTGAATCAGCAAAAATTCATGAAACCTGATCGGAAGCAAGTGCTTCATCCACCATATAGCTCTGATCTCACGACATATGGATTCCACTTATTTCGATAGTTGTGGAAATCCTTCAATGGGAAAACCTTTACTAAAAATGGAAATATCAAATCTAATGTGGTCCAGTTTTTTGGTCAAAGAAAAAGCGAAATCCGCGAGGGACAAGCTATGAAATCGCTGCGAGGAAGGCAAAAGATAACCGAACAGAACCAGGTATATATCATTGGTTAAGGTTCGTTCAAAAGGCAAAGACAAAATGCTGTTTCTATGCTTATGGAACGCTCGGATATTGAAGTCATATTCCGAGCGATCCAGTAGCACCCGTATTTTCATAAAGATAATTCTGTCACCATGTTCATAAAGAAGTTCAATATTTTCAGGAACGAGATGTCTGGTGCGTTGACTGGACTTATTCGTGTGCGTCGTTTTCAACAAGATGATGCCCACATTTTCTGTCGCAGAGATCAGATATGGGACGAAATTAAGGTACTACTCTTCTACACTTGATTTATTTTAACATCTTTATTCAATTTGTGCTCTGTTATAGCGGTCTTGAAATACTAAGTGATTGCATTGCCTATTACATAAATTTGCCCACTCTGTTTTTTCAAAAACATTTGATATTGTCTATACTTTGTCATGCTCTGTTCTGTATTTATGACGAAAGTTGTTCACCATCAACGGCATTCTTCGGTCATTCTTGGTACAACGCCCCTATGTAGTCCAAATCTTTCTGAGAAAGGTCGAAAATGTACAAATGGAATTGACCATTAGAAAGGAAAACATTCTTCAGAGAGTGATGAGGCATGGTGACTGCGAGGGAATTTATTTGGGTCTCACATCTGAAAAAAGCATCCCTTTTCAAGTGGAAGTATTTTAGCTCAAGATGAAGTTTCTCGGGGTTAATCATTCTCAGTGCAGGGTATCCTACGCTTTGGAGTTCTATTCAAAAAGCAATGAATGACGTCTGAATCCGAATTGCGTGTACAGTAACTTCAGGTCGCAGCTTATAAACGAACTAGCAGGTTTATCTTCGCAGACGATTCTGTTGCCAATAACCCGATCGCTCCGAAGATTTGCCCGGTCTAGGTGGAGTTCTCTCATGAAGAGGAGTAGTTCAGAGAAAGCTTAGCTAGGATGTCTCAACTACCGTGTTATCGAAAGATCTGGCTCCCCTGCCTCTGGATTCCTGATATGTCCCAAGCTTAATCCATGTTAGCCTTCGCCGTTTTGATATTCGTATTGTAATTAATCTTTCTTAGGGCTGTCTAGACTTCCTATCCTTCTGCTACGAAAAAGTGTTCGGGTTCACATTCAAACTTAATCTTGCTACTCGGCCTGAGGGCTTTCTTGGAGAGCTTTCGGTGGGTTGATTATGATTTTTTTCCAATCTTAGGATGACTATCCTCAAATCATTTATCAAACTGAAGCTACATCAGAACTATACTGATCTTCCATTTAAGACGTGGGATGAAGCAGAGAGTGATCTCAAAGCTGCACTGAATGAGAGTGGTAGACCTTGGAAATTGAATGAAGGAGATGGCGCTTTCTATGGGCCTAAGGTATGGTAGCTACCCTTTTGCCTCTAGTTTTATTTTCTTATACTCACATTTGGTTACAGATCGATATCAGTATTCAAGATGCGCTAAGGCGTAATCATCAGTGCGCGACCATTCAGCTTGATTTCCAGTTGCCTCAACGATTTGATTTAAGTTACTTCGAGTGAGCTTTTGAATTTTTCATTTACGTCTTGCTGTAAGCAAAGAAATGCGAAATGAAAGAAAGAAATGAAATGAAAGAAGAAGCTTTCGTCTGTTTCCTTTTGGAAGGCTTGTTTAGTATGTTTCACCCCGCAGGCTTTAGAAAGGAGAACCATCTTACTGATAAAGGAGTTCGTTAAGGTTTTCAGTACTTCTCCCCCGCAAATTGAGTGACCTCGCCTAATACTTTTCTCTTTCAGTGAGAAGGGCGAGAAACAGCGGCCTGTGATGATTCATCGTGCAGTGTTGGGATCAGTCGAAAGAATGGCAGCTATTCTAACAGAGAATTATGGAGGAAAGTGGCCGTTCTGGTTGTCTCCTCGTCAGGTGACATGGTTTTAAGTCAGAACCTCGAGATGATGTGCAAAACGTTAAATTCTCCTCAGGCTAAAGTCATTACTGTGCATGAGTCGGTGAATCCCTACGCTAGACAAGTAAAAGAGAAGTTGTATAATGCTGGCTTTGAGGTATTCTGCACAATTCTACCTCTTTCTTCTTTTCTTGTTTTGAAGCTTGTCGCAATGAAATTGAAAACTCTATTAACCTAGGTTGAGTTCGATGAGGGCTGTTCAGACACCTTGAATAAGCAGATTCGAAATGCTCAACTTGCTCAATTCAATTTTATTCTTGTTGTTGGACAAAAAGAAGTTGAACACGGAACTGTAAACGTTCGCACGAGAGACAATGCGGTGAGATTTCCTTTCAGTATATTCACGAAAAATGTGGAACTGCTTTAGCGTTTAAATAATCGCATAACATATTGGAGTTGAGTCTTCATGGTAGTATATATTCTCATTTATGCTTGGGTATCGTTGATGGTTCTGGGATTTTTAGGTGCGAGGCGAGGTGAGCATTGATGACCTTCTTGCGAAATTCCGACGCTTTGCAGATGAATACGTGAAAGACACTGAAAATGCTGAAGAGTTTTCTAAAGGAGTATCGCCTAATGGCTCTGAGTAGATGTAATTATGATGACTGCTCTTGTTTGGTTTCCATCATAATGTTGTTTGTTGGTTTTGCTTTATTTATTGATTGGGACCTGTTGTTTGAGTACGGCATTTTATCCGAGCTTTGGTTCTCCTTTTCCTGGAAAAGTTCTGGCGTATAAAGACCTCTAGTCGTGATCGTTTAATTGGGTCAACCCAGTGTATACCTGCAAACAATGCTGCAGACTCTAGTAGTTCATCACCACTTTAGCATAATTCATTGAGTATCCGTTGAAGGATGTGATAAAGATCATAGCACAGCAGTATCCCGCTTATTCGTCTTTCAACATGATTTGATGTCCTACGAATCACAATTCTTCAACGGCGAGATGACAGATCAAGTTAAGGTAATAACTTATATGCTGTGTAAAATTACTTTTAATCATACTTGCTCTTTTTAATGCGTCTACCCTCAGATGCAGTTTCTATTGAAAATCACAAACTAAGCTAGTACCCTACGAAGTCACCATGTAATTTGTAACGGTGGCTGCAGTCGTTTCAATATTTCTATATTATTAATACTCGGTATGATTGCCGCAAGATACGCGTTGGCTTCCGTGTGATGATTGGGATAATTCTACATTAGGCATTGTAAGTCCGTTTTCAAAATGACGTTATTTAGAAAAGAGAACAAAACTACGTTATTATGTCGTCCTTTTGTTCTTATTTCTGGAGCTATTCGGACAACTCTTTTTGCGAGTGAAAAAAAGTTGTTCGAATAAGTCCAGAAAAAGAACAAAAGGAAGGCATAATAATGTAGTAACAATTGCTACATCCACATGGGAAGTCAATATGGACGAACTCGGTGTTGTGTTACAGTAAGCTTTGTCGTGGTACTGCTGGTAAAAGGCAATGAGCTGTATCGAGGTGTGTCATGATAGTGCTGTATAACAGTGTTATTTGTTTCACACATTCTCCTTTTAACATCTGTCATGTTGTCACGAACATAGCGCAGAAATTTTCCCAAGTGTGGCGGAAATATAACACACTTCTTTGCAGGGGAAAAAAGGAAGGGCATGAATTCGTGTCGTGTGGGCTTTTTTCGCAATGTGTTAATAATGTTCTTTTCGGAAGGACGAGGCGCTCACTGAACTCATGCACTATATTTCATGTATTTTTCCTTGCACGCACAAACATTTAAAAAGAAAACTTCCGACACGTTGGGATTTTCCTTAGAGGAATAAAAAGTCCTAGTCTCACAAAGGGATTGGGTATTACCTTCAGCAAAGATCATTGCTTCCAAAGTAGTCATGTATGCTGCGTGGTGCTTTTGCTCCTGTAGTTTTTTCAAAATTCATTTTCTGTTTCGTTAAGTGAATTGAGTAACTTGCAACCGATACTATTCCATAATTGTAGACGCTTTCTTGTTGCTTTCTTCTTTTAGCCAGATTATGAATTGTTTTCGAGCCTCGTTATGAACTTTGCCAGACCAAGTTTTATATTTCCTTTTTACGCTTTAATTTTGTTTGGAATTCTTCTCCGTGCCCGGTGAGTGCGAAAACGTAAAAGTTGAAGTGCGGTATTGATTTACTCCCGTACTTTAAGGACAACCATCGGACGACAAAACAGGTGTGGGTATAGTCATCCAATTCTAAAGTGACGAGGCAAACTGCGCGGCCAAATTGGTGCTGCTTTAAACAACTCTGATGCCTATCATTGCGGCACAGGTTTTGAGTAGACTGAAAAATAGGGACAACTGGTGCAACTCATCTACAATACTTCAAATTTGTGACCCAGGGTCGTTTAAATCACCGCGAATTTCGCCGCGCGGTTTGCCGCGTACATACAGAATTGGGTGAATGTTCTGTCCTCTCGACAAAACAAACGCTTGTCTTTTGTCATGGCATTTTTCATACATCCGTTTCGGATGCAGTACTGTATTTAGGATCACTCAAGCGAATGCCTCGAATCAAGAAAAGTATAACAATATTAGTAAGAAAATTCTAGGGATACGTTAAAACAACTACGTTGCTGTTTTTTGATGATTAGTGTAGCCCTTCGGGATGCACTTCACCCGCATAATTTTTAAATGAACCGGACCTTAGAGGGGAGAACTGAGGGACTATATCGTCTCATTGTGACTTGTAGGCAGGACGTAACGGTTCAACGGGTCAGTGTAAAACTCGTAGATGATATTCGTATACATTCGGAGTGCAGAGATTCGTCGTGACATCGAAGTCATGCCAATTTGATTCTATCATTTGAAGAAGGCGTTGCAGATGCACTTCTCGGCCTCTACTGGTTGCCAGCTTTGCTGGTCTTATCGTTTTCGAGTCATCGCTTATCGCCTCCCTCTTCGTCTAGACAGTTCAGCCGTTACTTGACTGCAACGCGCGAATTCACGTAGGCTTATCTGTAAGAATCTTTCGGAGAATTTCTTCATCAGCTTATGAACTCTCTGCCTTTGCTGCAATATCGTGAAGACGTTCGAGAAGCCAACTGTACCCGGCTGGTGTTTCTATTATATATTGGAACAATTTGATTTTCGCTTGCTCTGGGCAGTCAGCTTAAAAAGAAGAATGTACGGACTAGTGCTAAACATTCTCCACTGACACTCAATAGTACTTTGATGTCATCTCGAGCTCAAAATGGAAATGCGGTGCGCGCGAATTGGGGTGCGCTTCGTTGCGCGTGTCCGTCGAAACTAGGTCACGCCGCAGCCGTCGCATGCGGCGGGTTAGCCCGCGATACTTGACAGACGTCGCAGCTGTAAGCGGGGCATACGATTTGTGCTTTCTCCACGGTAGTTAGCCAAAGAGAAGATAACATAGACAAATGCAAATCGTTCGCTCCACTCACACTTGGTGGTACTGAATGTCATCTCGAGACCTCAGTGCAGTGCGCCGCGCTCGAAGTGGGTGGGGTGACCTACTTTCGACGGACACGCGCAACGGACGTTCGCCCGCGAATTGGGCGGGGTGACCTAGTTTCGACGGACGCGCGGAACAGGCGTTCGCTATCCTGGGGCTGCGACTCACAATCAGCCAAGATCATAATACCGATCAATATCATAAATGATCTTACCAACTAGTCGGCACGATGGAATCTAAGAGTCCTCACCCAGCTCCCACATTCCTGTTTGCTGAGTCGTCTCACAGCACAGCTTTTAAACCGTAGGGAACAACTCGTTGAACCGAATTGCGTGCCACCGTCGGCGCCTCCTGTCATCGTCTCGGGGCTTGAATGAGAGCATAAAGTAAAAGATTCTAGTTCCATGACTATTTTCATAGATTAGTGATGAACACTTTTTTGAAATTGAAATTGGTTTCGTGGGGAATCGCTCCTTTGGTTCTCCCTCTCGAAATTCGACATGCCATCACATCGATGAAGAATTGTACGGCGCCCGGTCCCGATGGGTGTGGTGCGATTCACGCGCCAATATAATGAGGTCATCGGGCAAAAAGCGCTAAAACATCATGCCTACCATCATAATGCAAGGAATAAGAACTTATAAGTAGAATAAGTAAAGAAATGACCAACTATGCACGTTTACAGAAGGATTGCAGTTGCTAGGACTAAAAAATTTGAATTTTTTCTCATTTTGAACGTTTGACAAGTAAATTGTTGACCTATGAGGTGAATTCTCAACCTCGAAGGGGCTTTTTTGCCATATTAAAGAGATTTGCTCTATTCATGGTGAAGCCGTGGACTCCTGCAAATTTATTTGGTCCAGCTCAACAGAAAGGTACTGAAACGATGCTGCGTGTGCGAAGAGCTTTAATGGGGTCACGCGTGAATCGCGCGCCCCCCGGTCCCGATAGGATCAAGCCGGAACATTTGAAGAACCTCCCAGCACCAGTCGTCAGAACTCTGGCTAGGCTCTNCACGCGCCAATATAATGAGGTCATCGGGCAAAAAGCGCTAAAACATCATGCCTACCATCATAATGCAAGGAATAAGAACTTATAAGTAGAATAAGTAAAGAAATGACCAACTATGCACGTTTACAGAAGGATTGCAGTTGCTAGGACTAAAAAATTTGAATTTTTTCTCATTTTGAACGTTTGACAAGTAAATTGTTGACCTATGAGGTGAATTCTCAACCTCGAAGGGGCTTTTTTGCCATATTAAAGAGATTTGCTCTATTCATGGTGAAGCCGTGGACTCCTGCAAATTTATTTGGTCCAGCTCAACAGAAAGGTACTGAAACGATGCTGCGTGTGCGAAGAGCTTTAATGGGGTCACGCGTGAATCGCGCGCCCCCCGGTCCCGATAGGATCAAGCCGGAACATTTGAAGAACCTCCCAGCACCAGTCGTCAGAACTCTGGCTAGGCTCTTCATGCGGTACCTGTCAGTCTCAAGCCGATCCTTCCACAAGCACAGAGTAAATGCTGGGCCTTTGCTATGTAATTAGGGATTGTATATAAAGGTTTATTAGAATGTAGAACGCAGCTGCGAATAGAATGGAGGTGCGTACAGAGTAAGAAGCGAAGGTATCGGATACGTGGATATGCTATGGAGTAAGACAGTCTTCGGGCACTCGGGCAGTAGCTGCAGATGCGCTTCTCAGCGATCCTGCGCGTTCCTCAATGACCATGCGCTGTTGCTCTTTCCACCGTCCTTGTTATTATCGTCGCGCATCTCGAGTCGGCAAGCCTGGAAATCACAACATGTTGCTGCCAGTTTACTCCTTTCACACCTCCTCTAACAACAAAAGTCCGTCACGGACTTGTAACAAAAAAAACTTAGCTGAAGAGGTGGCAGGAGACGGTGAACGTCGGTGTTTAGACGACTATGTCGAGGGACGGCGCAGCTTCTTCGTGTCGAGACACCCGTGAGCCCTTCGCGGAGTAGTTGAGTATCGGAGATAGCAGAAAATAATATCGTAAAAGCAAACGGAAGAAGAAAAGGAAAAGAAGGTAAACAAAAGTGTTACCTAAGTGAAAAAATAGGAGGAAAAGCGATAATTCGGTCGAGGGAGCTAAAAGTGCCTCTCCTAGCAACTCGGGAATAAGCGCTCCAGCTGTGTAGAC